AAACTATGTTCTGTATTACTTTATTTACAAAAAAGCATATAGCAATTGTAGGACATTAGGTGCCATAAAATGATACACACCTGGATTGAAGAGGTTTGGATTCACCCATTCCTTCTCATCATGGTGTAGAGACCAGAGGTTAATAACCACACGGGCTTCCTTAGGAATGGTGTATTCTCCAATACTGTAAAGAGATATGTATAATTAATACTGATCATGCTGCAGGCATTAAACCAATAAGGTACATATGGAGTGCATGTTTTTATCATAATTATTTTTATATTTCAAAAAGATTTTATGACAATGCTGAATCAGGCATATCAGTCTCTGCCCCGAATAAAGCTTACAAACTAATTTTCCTACCACTGTTTGATAGCGCAGGGGCGTAACTAGAAATCACAGGGCCCCATAGCAAAATTTTGTATGGGGCCCCATGATTGCTAGTTATGCCACTTGCAGAGCCCACCTGATATACCAAACAGCCCACCTGAGAGTGACCCTGCAGAGCCCACCATAGACTCTCTATAGTTGGCTCTGCAGGGTCTCAGATGGACTGCACACCTCTTACCTGTCAGGGCTGTCCGCCTCTGTGGCCGCCGGGCCCCGCCTCCTCTTCTAACGACGGGCCCCGCCTCCTCTTAGGTCGCTGGCCAGTGATGTAAGAAGAGGCGGGGTTGCTCTTAGGCGGGCACCGCCTCCTCCTCTACTGCTAATGCTGGCCTCTTCTGCCGCAGCTGCTGGCTGTCACTGACACGGCTCCGCAGCGGCTGTGAGGGGAAATCGGTGATCTTCACAGCTGCTGCTGAGCTGTGTCAGTGACAGCCAGCACCCTTACATGCCATAGCGACCCAGGCGGCCAAAACAGCATCAGAGGGATGCCCTGGCCGTGCCCCCCTGTGCGCGGCCCCATAACGGCCACCTGGGTCGCCATTGTTACGCCACTGGTGCACGGCCAGTCCATACAAAGGGTGCCCCTTGGCGGGGGCTGAACCCATAAAAAAAGTAAACCGCAGTACTAAAAATTAGCCACCATCTTCCAGCAACCTTGGGGATCCCTCTATGATTTTTTCCTGTGCAGGACAGAAAAAAGAACAATCTGGTTTCTACTCAAGCTGCTTAGCAAAGCAGAGGCACACTCGAGCAAATATGTAAGTATGTCAGGGCTGCAACTGTTATTTATTTTACAGAAGGAGCTAGGAGAAGCAGCAGACCTAACGTTGATTATCTATTCTAGATCTACTTTGGGCGAGCTTATTGTGCACTACTCACAAACTACCATTCTTGCTTAGATAATTAACCAAATGTCAGAACTTTTGGCTGGAAAGTGGAAATGTACTAATGTAACCTACTGGGAAGAAGACAATAAATCTCACCTGGAATCTTTTAAAGCCACATGCGGAAGAAGCAATGGTGATACAGGACGAATTCGCAGTACTTCAGAGATGGCAGCCTCTGTATAGTGAAGGATTTTCCTGTCACTGAGGAGTGGATATCTTTCAAACCCGACCTTTGCATCCAGCTCTTCCTGGATTTTCTTCTGGACCTGGTTTATTGTACAAAATACACAGTATAGTAATTCACTTGTGCAGTGGCGGACTTAAGGAACAAAGGGCCTGGTGCAACATTTTTTCTCGGGCTCCCCCCTTCCCGCTCGGGAAGGGGGGGTGCCAGGATTGGATCTTGCTAGCCCCCCAGTCTCTGCACTAAAGGACCTTACACTCTAATGTCCCCCCACAGTCACACACTATTATTATACGTTTATATTGCTCTGACATATACCGTTGTGCTGTACAAAGAACACTGAGCCAGACACATCAGTCTTTGTACAGAGGAGCTTCACTCTAATGCAGAATGCCATAAGATATAGAGGATTACAAATCCCAGCAATACATCATACAGCAATGCAGAATAATAGTATATGAATTTGGTACATACTCTGTGCTGCTGCTCTGCTCCGGGGTGCTGGCCTGATGACTCGGGCAGAGGTTCTCAGGAGGAGTGCAGAAGGTCTCAGGAGGGGGAGATGTGTGGGCGGCGGAAGTGCTGTAAGCAGGCGCCGCGTGGCTCCCGAGAAGGCTGCTGCGAGTCACCTAACGCAGCCGAATCCATTTGAAAAATTTAATTGCCGAGGTGCAGAGCTCAACGATGTAACGCAGAGTACAAAGGTCAGTGGTGTAGCGCAGAGTACACAGGTCAGTGGTGTAATGCAGAGAACACAGGTCAGTGGTGTAGTACAGAGATCAGTGGTGTAATGGAGAGTATACAGGTCAGTGGTGTAATGCAGAGTGCAGAGGCGGTCGCCTCAGGTGGCATCTCTTAGGGTCATGTGTGGAGTCATGTGCCTAACGCCCCCTCTGGTCCAGAGCATCCAAGGTTGCTAAGAGGTCTTAGGAACCTGTGACGTTCTGGCCAGAACATCCCGCTCAGCTGCTGGCAACCACTGACATCCTGGGTCATTGAGATGGGCAACGCAGGGGATCCTGGGTGACGTCATTCATGAAATCCGGTCATCACCCGGGATCCCAGGCTCTGTGTTTACATTCCAGCAGTGCTGTGGAACTGTCATTTGGGATGGGAGTTAAGGTGGGGCAGCATCACTATTGCAGTGGGTCAACATCGTATGGTGTCACTCATCGTAATTAACATGGATTGTGAGTGATGTTAGATTTACATACTGGAACACTGGAATTTAAAAAAAATAAAATAAAGGACTTTTATTAACTGTGTTGTTGTTTTTATTTACTATTTCCTTTTTTCGTGAATACGTTACAAAGGGTATTTACCCCTTCTCATTCATATACAGTGAGGGGGGGGGGCTCCCTTATTCTATAGGTGGCTCCCAGATTCACATAATCTCTCCCCACATTCCTTTTGGGGGATGGGATGCAGGGATTAGGCTCTTGTCCTCATAAACATGGGGACAAGGTGCCTTGCAAGGGAGGGAGAGGCTTTTCTGCCCCCACCCCTCCCTTGCAGGTATTCTCCTTCTAACTATACTACTACTCATGCCTATACCCTGTTAATACTATCTACTATAATTTGTTCACCTCTGGATAGTGTAGTAAATATGCAACAGCCCATTTCAAAACTGTAGATGTGGTCTCCACTCCTGCTCCAAATATATCCCCTACAGTCATGAGGATGTGATCCTCCGTCAGCCCCACATCTTGTGGTATGTTGCTATTGTTGTTTTCCATGCTTAATTTGGCTTTGAGAAGAGCATCCATCAAGTCATTGACAGTTTCCCCAGAAAACGCATCCTACAAAGTACATAACAGCATTTTAGTAAAACTGCAAAAAAACTCTTACAAACTTTTGCATGGTTTACAGAAAGAATAAAATAGATATGATGGTAGTAGCCAGGGGCCACCCTACCCTAGGACGTAAGCCCTAGGAAGTATGCCTCTGCATCATCTCCCGGCCCATCTCGGGTTTCGGCTCTGGCCAGCATCCGACTCAGCACCTGGGCAGTGATAATGGTGTATCCCTAATTATTACCTTATATGCTAATGTATACTAATACTGTCATATTAAATGTTGTCATATATTATTCATCGATATAAATTGTTTTATACAGCACAGATCTACACTTTTTAAAATATTCATCCTTCATTTACCTACCTTATGTTCTTTTAGTTTCTTATAGAGAAGTTGATCTCGAGCTGCCACTGACTGCCTCAAGATGTCTAGATCCTTGTTTGGAAATATCTGCCAGAAAGGAATGTGATTTACTGGAAAACCTAATACACATATACAATAATACTGCAATATACTGTATATACACCCTCACTTCTCCGTGGATCGTGGAAAACTAGGAGCAGCATAAAATATCAAATTACAGCAGAAATGCATCAGCAGGTGAATCTGAAATAAGGCCTCTTTCACACCAGGGCATTTCGTCGCATGTTTTTTTTACGCGCTGAAACGCATGCAAATTTAAATCCCATGTATTCCTATGGAGGTCGTTCAGGCAAATGCACTGAATCGCGCATAAAAATACAACTGTTTGAAATAGCCCCTTAGCTTATTTTGTTGCATAGCAAAAACATGTCTTCTATTGCATTAGTTGTGAATGGGGCATGGTTGAATGCAGTTTTGGTATTCTTGCAGATAAGTGATGGATGTTTAATTTTCTGACCTCCACATATCACAAAAAAAATTAAAACAGTTGTATATGCAGAAGAAATAGCTAGGTATAACTTTATAAGGCAATATTTCCTGAAGATTTAGTTAAAAAGGAAGAGTTCCCCCATTTACATACCGCTGTGAGAAGAAAGTGAAGGAATGATTTCCAATTACAGCAAAAAGAAAAATAATTATTATAGAATCTCAAACAGCAGAGTAAACCTTTCCAGGAGAAAATGTTTCTCTCCCAGACACTGGTGCCCAGGAGCCGCTATCTAATAGCAGGAGACTCCTGGGAACATCCGGGAGAGTTGAGATGTCTGAGTTCAAAGCAAACTTGTTGATTTGTCCTCCATAGGGAAACACAGGTTTACTTTGAAGCGGGCCCTGCACTAAAATCCAAGGTCCACTTATATGACTGCCCTCCACCCTCTGATGCTAAAACACTGTATTATGGAAATAGAAAAATGAAAGGTGACATCAGTGAGTCTTCTGGTAGGATCCTGCGAAAGCGGTGGATCACAAATCATGTGAGAACAAGCTCCTGCATATTGCAGTAGCATCATTTCATAAGTTGGATACAGAGCTTTCCCAAGATTTCCTTTGTGAGGGAAATATCCCACAGCACAGTAAACGCACATGCTATATTCATACCTGAAGGCAAGGAAATATGTCCACCAAGCTGTCTTTGGCCACTGTGTCCACTATGCCTTTACTGTACTTCAGCATGGTCTCAAACTCTGCATCTCCTCTCTTGTATCTGGTTTTGAAGCACAAGGAGCAGACCACATTAGTGACAGCTCGGATGAGCTCTGGAGCCATGTCCAAAGGGATTGTCTGGAAGGAGGCGAGCGTCTGACACAACGAGGAAGCTTCACGGGAAACTTAATGATAGAAACATAATTCTACAATCAAAATCAGGGTATGAGAAGCCACACTGTCATTCTTACAATCGGATGGATGTCATTTCGATTCATAAAGTGGAAAGCCCATTTAAATATTATGCTTGTCAATCCTAGGTAAATTAAAACTGAACTCTAGGCAAACAACTAAATACACATATGAAATACATATATCAGACATTTGTACTTGACAAGGAATCAACGGAAATGTTTATTGAATCCTGAGATTTATACAGCCCTGCCAGATACTACAGCCACCCATTTCCCTGTTAATATCAAAAAGTGTAGAATGGATACATCTCATCACCCCCATTTTGCTGACTTAACAGTGAAAGAACAGCAGGAGGCTGATAAGGACATCCCTCTGCTGTCTCTCTTCTCAGCCTGGTCCTTGTTAGCATATTTGAACGCAGCACACCTTACTGGCTCCCAGCCCCCCCCCTACTTCTCCCAGTTCTCCCTACTTCTCCCAGTCTGAGTGTTGCTGTATAAGTGATTGAAAGAGAATGATGCCAAGTCAAATTAAAGTGCTTACACCTGCTGCATTTACCCTAGGCTCACGGTATACTGAGCCTAGGGTGACGGGAGGACGCTAGTTTGTGTCCTCCCGTTACCCTAAGGAGAACTATGGGGAAAAGCCCTAACCCCATAGTTCTCCTTTAATCATGTGATCACAAGAATAGCCAATCATCATGATCGCTGAAATCTTGTTTACAAACAAACTTCTCCATCCATTGCACTGACAAAGAGGCACAGTGCCACTGGATGTGGCCATATTGCATTACACACTCCTGGATAAAGGTTACAGATTAACAATTATAGTTAGTCTCTGTTTGTTTTATTTAAATTTGTTTTATTTCCATGTTTATTCTATCCCCATAAGTTTATGGTTTTATAACTCTAGCGACTACTCAATACAGATTTATTATGCATATATTTACAACCGCTCTTGCAGTACAAGTGTATATTATCTACGACTAGTTGGAATGTAAAAGAGATTTCAGGTGATACGGTTTATCTGATGTCTGATGGATGTATTATGTGCCAATGTATCTGCTTGTTCATTATGAATGTACACAGCAATGCCTTATATGCATATAAACCAATACAAAATCTAAAGTTTAAAAAAAGAGGCACAGTGCCATCTGCTGGTTCAAGAGACACATTGTTATATATTAAATAAAAAATTTCAGGTTAAAACGGACCTTCACGCTTCCACATTCTGTTCTAACCCACTGCAACCTCCCACTATTTAAAACAGAATCTTTTTTTCTGTTTGTAGCCCCTACCACCGTTTGTGGAGTGGCTACCAGAAATTTACAGGGATATTCACAAAAGGGTGAAGAGTTTGGAGAAGGCAGGAAAAGTGAACAATCTAGGACAACATAGCTGAACTGGAAAGTGAGCTGAATTGGAGAATTTTTCCAAATGAGCTATGTTGTCCTAGATTGTTCACTTCTCCACACTCTTCACCTTTTTGTGAATAACCCTGTTAGTGTTGCCAGAGCTGTAGTCAGTCTGGCTGAATTATAATTGGCATTTATCTGGTTAATTCCAGGTGTTCTTACATTGATTGTACCTGCCTGAGTGGGGTGTGACTCTGCTGCAGTGTGGGGCAGCCAATGGAGAACGTTATGAATGTGTGTGAGGCTCACCAGCCAATCAGTGGTGATTTAATGGCCAGTTGTGCATGCCAAGGAAGTTCATATATACTCTGGGGAATTGCCATGTGCTCTGCCTAGTCTTAGGCTTGTCTAGAGTCCAGCCCAGGCTGGGTTCAGTCTGGCCTGGAAGCAGGAATGCTCAAGTGCGGGAAATGTTCACTAGGCCTCAAGCCGGGAGGAGGCCTCCTAATACTGATATTGGAGGAGAACCAGAGAAGCCGATGGCTACTGGAGGTGCCTAGCACTGGAATTGACCACAGGAGCAAGTCTGGTGTCTCTTCTACTAAAAATCTCATGCCTATTCATCTTCAGCTGTTGCTCAGATACCCAGTGTGTGCTCTCATTGATCCTGCACTATGGAATACTGAAAGGGACTGGTGAGTCTGGAGTTTTTTTCTCTGCCTATTTCTATCATGGATGTCCGAAGTCCTAAACCTCTCTCCCAATTATGAAGTTCTACAATAAAGTTCCCTCAGCATCATATCTACAGTCTGGATCTCACTTTTATTGGTTGCCACAGAGGGTGATAAGTGCTATTAGGGCAGCCAGGTTGCTAAAATCCCCTAGACAGGCTATGGAAGATCCGTATAAACCAGCGGCTTCTTCATTGGGTGAGCAATACATGTTTATTGAACTTTTTCAAAATATTTAATCTGGCCTCACCCCATCACCGTTCTTGACAAGGCGAGTATGAAGTGTCCTTCTACTACAGCCTCCTGGGGTATGTGTTGGGGATATCATGAGTAGGGACACAGGGCTGCCGGTGGGGGGAGCTGCGTACATCATTAGGGACTGACTGCCTGAACCCAGAAGAAGCAGCCAGGTTCACCTTGGTCATTGGGTTCTGGCATGGGACCCGGGCTGTGTCACCTGAACAGCAGATCCCAGTGAGAGAAAGCTAGATTCACGGGGTAGGCAAGTATGTGAACTAAGGACAATGCTGTACAAAAGGCAAAAAGGGTAAAAAAAACAAAGTTCCAAGGGCAGAGTGAAGCTCCTATTTAAAGTCAATCATCCAACAGGGTTTCAGCGTGTTGATAAAGTGAGAACATCCACTGAGTGTGATCATGTCCCTGGTGGGTGACAAGACCTGGAACCTAGCCCTGTACAGTAAGAGAGCCGGCCACTTAAGAGCATTAACCATCATGTCATAGAACATTATTCAGCAACGGTAAAAGGGCAGTTCTATACTCAAGATTAAAGGAAATGTACTGAGAGAAATATAGAGGCTGCCATTGATGACCTTTACTCCAGTCATTGCAGGCACTGATCAGAACAAGTACGTTGCAAATTAAGTCACAGGGAAGTGAAAACTCCACATCTGTTTTCTTATTTCTGTACAGTGACTCAGAAAATATTACTAGAGTTATTGCAGCAGTATGACAGCCAGTCAAACATCATCTTTAGAAGGAGAGGTCACCATTAACTGCCTTCTTATACTCTAGGTCAAGGGTGGGCAACTCTGGCCTTCCAGCTGTTGTGGAACTAAAGGTCCCATGAAGCATTGCAAGACTCTGAGAGCCACATGTATGAATCCTAGAGGCAGAGGGATCATGGGATTTGTAGTTTAATCACAGCTGGAGGGCTGACATTGCCCACCTCTCTCACCTGCTCTAGGTAAAGGTAAAGAAAACAAAAAGCATGCCATTCATTTACAATTTTTTTTATTTTGTTACTATGGTCATAATAATGAATAAGGAGACTTTCTTAATTGCTGAACATACATTTATTGCAATGGTAGAGCAGCTAATAAGGTGTCCCGTGCATAATACACTCATAGACTATGTGCATGTGTCCATGTCCAAGATCATGTTCATTGACAGCACACCATGTCCAGGGTGACTGTAGGAAAATGACTAGTTGTATCATGACAATCATTCAGATTTGCTCATCTGTGAGATGCCTCCCAGGAGAAAGGTGATCACATAGAGGACCATGTAGTTTTTTTTATAACGTTATGTGAATTTTAGATTGAGATAGTGTTTCTATAAGTTAAAACATAATTACATCCAGCAGTGAATGTCCACATTTAGTATCATCTAGTATGTTTATATACACACTCATACAGTATCACTGCCTATGGCAGCTCCATTGCTGAGATAGCCTGGCTCTAGGACCGACGTCTATCAGCTGCTGTGATGAATAAAGAATGTTGGAGTCAGTCTCCTCCAGCCGAACATCTCATTGGAATAAACAGAGAATTTGTAAGGATTTAAAAGAGCAGGAAGAACAGTACTGGAACTACAGAAGGTAAATCTTAGCATTTGAGTCGTCTGCATTATGCTTGAAGAATTCACTAAAGTCCCATTGACGGTTGCAATTGGGACCAACTCATGAATTGCTCCTTGAAACTCATGCCAACAGTTGCTGTTCACATGTATTTGGACATGCTGCAATTACCTGCAGACCTGAAGGCAAACTGTTTGCATCTGGTGGTGATCATCCGCAGGTAATCTCAGCATGTCCAGTTACATGTGAACAGCTTAGGACACTGTCAGCTGTCATTGCCTTGCATAGTGCTTCCCATCCACAGCTGTTCACATGAGTCTCACAGAGCAATTTGTGAGACAACCCCAATGGCGCGTGTGAATGGGTTCCAACACAGAAGACTGACGGGGCTATTCTCTAATGGGTGAAGGGTTTGTAGAAGGCAGGAGAAGTGAACAATCTAGGCCAAAATAGCTGATTTGGAAAATGTCTCCAATTCAGCTCACTTTCCATTCCAGCTATGTTGTCCTAGATTGTTCACTTCTCCAGCCTTCTCCAAACTCTTCACCCTTTTGTGAATAGCCTGTGAATGTTTATAGTGCATAGCATCTGCTATGAATGTGGCATCATCTCTGCATATACACTTCCAGTCAAAATTACTTCTGTTCATGGTTGTGCTTGTTTATGAAATATGCTTGTTTATGAAACCAAAGCTTTTAAATATATACTGTATATATAGTAAAACATTAGTACATTCATGTCTCTTCTGTTGTACACCATAGCTGTGGTGATATATGTATACTCACTGATGTGCTCAATAGCAACGGTTCCTTCACCGAACATACACAGCGCTGAATGAACCATTTTACGATGAAACTTCCAGCTGGGACTATAGTCTGCAAATGCAATGTCCTTGCCATCTCTTGTCAAAATATCGGTTGTCACCTTAATATCAAAGGAACATTAGGAACATTACACAGTGAAGTTCACATTTCCGTATCTCTTACACCCGAGCTGAAAACCCTCATCAATAATGTCCTCTCAGGTGGATACCTACCTCATAGGGATGGAATTTTTGTTTCAATGAGTCCTATAAGTACTACATTGGTTGTAACTTGCTCCATATATTTATTTGTATATTATATTTTCGATATTTTTTGGAAAGTTGGTTGACATGAAGTTGGGTAGGAGTACCCAAAACTCTTAGGTGGACAGGAACATAGTTGGGAACTGCGGCTGGGATATCTCACGTATTCTTACGTGCCAATTCACAACAGATGCTTTGGAGCTAAGCTGGCCGTTGTTTCCAGCACACCCCCAAAGCAAGACAATTTGCTTTGTCACCGCCACATTGTGATTGGAATGCGTTTGTTAGCGCTAAAAGAAAACGTACGGCATGCTGTACTTTTTTCAGCGCAGCAGGATGTGACGCTGTACAGCCACTTCGCACCCTGCTGCGCCCGTAGAACTGAATGAAGGATGCTGGGTCTCACTGCTAAACACAAGGTGTTAATGCAATCCATTACTATAGGGTGAAGCCAGTGTAATCCTTAAGAGCCTACTCGCACCATAGCGTTTGAGTTTTGCACAGTACAATGCATGTGTTACTGTAGGGCACACGTAAGCTCAGTGCTGTCTTGTGGTACCATTAATTTTTCTACAGAGCACTGACATTGCAAAATGTGCGTAAAGAAAAATGGAACAGGAGTATTTTTTTTTCCTGCATTGGGGCTTGTGGTAACGCAGCTTGCCACAATGTACAATATAACATGATACAGCACATGCAATACCGTTACACATCTTGCGAATGGCTCCGAAGGCTTGCCAGACTCTAGAAAGTCCAGAGCGTAGTAACTTACAGCAAACAATTTACATCCAGTTTACTTCATACAGGTAAGAGAGTGGACCTGACTGGTTACTATTTAGTGCATAGCTCTTTTATATTGTAGCCCGAGGACTTAGCCCTCGTTCACACCTGAACGCTTTGTAGCGCGTTCTACGCTCGACGAACGCTCTACAAAACGCTCAAAAATATAAATCCCATTGTATTCAATGGTCTCGTTCCCACCTTGGCGTATTTCCGCCCGTCCCTAACGCGCTACAAAACGGCCCACGCCTGAAAAGGTACAGGTACTACTTTGGGCCGTTTTGTTGCGTGTTTCCATTGGGATACAGCCAAGTAGCCTTCGGAAACGCGCGACGGTCGCGCAACTTTTTTACCGCGAATCGCGGTCGCGCATATGCAATACGCCTAGGTGTGAACGAGACCTCAATGTGCCAATAATTTTAAGCCCATAGCATTGGAGAACTAAACACAGACCAACAGTATGTATATAGCATAAAATACATTGCGAAACCTAAAAACAAACAGTGGGATCCTATCTGGTGTCCTGACCTACAGGTCGTACACCTCTGGGTTTAGTGATACTCACTGTGCGGGGTCTCCCAGCAAATGCTTTTCCCTTCTTCAGCAAGACCTCTCTGGCATCCTCATGGTTATTCACTACAACTACATAGTGGGAACCCATCTTAAAAGAGTATAGGCTGCCATACTTCTTCTGCAGGTTACAGAAGAGAAGGTGTGGAGGCAGATGATTTCCAAGGTGGAGTAAACTCCCGATGACAGGCAATGACGGTAAGCTCTTGGGGTACTTTACATCTCCATGGCTCCTGAATCCCATTCTCCAGAAAGAGATGAGGAATAGCACTGAGACTAGAAGCAAAGCACAGCCAAGCCACACAATCATGCTGGAGTCTTAATTACCTTGAAATGATCACTTCGGTGTTCTTGCCAAATAAATAATGTGGGGGCTTTTCCCTGCAGCCAATCAAAGCTCACATGTTATTAACCCATGGACTTCTTGGAGTATTTTATCTTCTCCTTCCTCAGTCAGAGTCTTAATGCTTTTAATATGCACTTTCCTAGATCCCAGCATCTAAATACATTAAAAAAACATTGTGCTATGATGGTCAAACAACCATACATCAGTTTAGCAGTATCTACTCTAGATATGATTGGAATGTTTGATCTTATTTGGAAATGTCTTTTGGGATACTACAAATGTTTACTGTTCCAGCTAAACATTAAGGCAGCAGCTGAATTTACAATTGTTTTCAAGGACTCCTCATTTGACTGATGTTTTTCCCATTTTCCCTTTATATTGGATTGTCATCTAATTTAAACTTAAATTGTTCTCCATGCTCTCTCGTCACTTGTGATGAGAGAGCATGGAGCCGACTTCCCGGCCAATCAGGAAGCCGGGTAGCGTGCAATGACATGCTGCCCGGCTTCCCGATTGGTCAGGAAGCTAGCAAATCCGGGAAGCCGGGCGCCGTGTAATGATGCAGCGCCCGGCATTCTGATTGGCCCGGGAAGCTGGCGTCATGCTCCCTCATCATCTCATGGATCATAATATTAAGAAAGTGACCTTAAAGCATTAGTTTGTATTGCTTTAGAAAAAATGTGACCTGTCCCTTTAAGAAAAAGTATCGGTAATTGGTTTCTGCGAGTACTTGATCAAAAGTATCGGTACTCGTACTCGGTCTTAAATAAGTGGTATCGGTGCATCCCTAGTCTTTACTATACACTTCCCATTTCACATGTTTTGGAGATGTCTCCTCTTGGATTCACAATGACTTGTGTAAACTGATCTCATGCTGCCTGCTATGCTTTTTAAAAGACATACTCCAGAATTTTAAAAAAACGTAACCTTGCAGGCAGCCGTGGCCCTCTTTTCAGGCATATTAGAGAGCCCCATCTGCTGCGGTCACAGCCTCACTGATCGGCTGGAGCCCGTACTGACCGCCTGGAGCCTGCACTGACTGCCTGGTGCCCACACTGACTGTTGGAGCCCGCACTGACCACCTGGAGCCCGCACTGACTACCTGAGAGCCCATACTGGCCACCTAGAGCCCGCGTTGGCCCCCTGAGAGCCCGCACTGACCACCTGAGAGCCCGCACTGACCACCTGAGAGTCCACACTGACCTCCTGAGAGCTCTGTAATGCATTACTTAGTACGGCCCTGGCAGTGATGCCTTCAGGCTGGTCTCATGACATGAAGGGTCCTCTTCATCTCCGGATGATGCAAAATGCGGCAATGACAAGATGACATCAGCACTGCTTTCTGTAATAGCACACAGTGAATGGAGGGGGCTGTGAATGGAGACCCCACAATCAGGCTTTATTCATAGCTACATTGTTACACTATTACATTGGATTTTGTATAATGCTTATGTATTCGTAGTGCTTATGTATGAACTACTTAGTCTGATCTGAGCGTATCAAATGCCACAAACCTGCAAGAGTTACGTTTTAGTAAACAAAAGTTGTTTTTTATGTAATTTCTTATTTTTATTACCTTCCCCCGTCATAGGTATTTTACTTTTTTTACGCTTTGTATATTCGCATTTTTGTGACATCTGTCCCCCATTGTAGGAAATGTACATAGCCCTTCCTGTCACGTTCGGAGTCTGAGCACAAATATATCTGTATTCTGTAACATAACGGTGGCAGCAGCGAGGATGCGAGCAGCTCTCTCGCCCCTCCCTCCACATTCGCTTTGCCAGGCTTTTTGAGCTGCACTCTGAGCCGTAGGTATGATGGAGAGGGAAGCGGTAGCAAAAATGGCGGCGTCCGCGGATGGGCAGACAAAGTACGGGCAGTCGGTGAAGGGACTGCTCACCGAGAAGGTCAGCACGTGTGGCGCTGACGTCATCGCCCTCACCAAACAAGTGCTGAAAGGGTCGCGCAGCTCCGAGGTGAGAGACGAGCTTCGGAAAAGCAGCGGGGCGGGGCCTGGCCTGGGATAGGGGCGGGGTTAGAGAGCAGCACAGGTAGGACCGAAAAGAGGGGGCGGGGCCCTGCTCCTCCTACAGTCATTCTATATGAGATCAGTCATTATTATACAGTCATTCTATATGAGATCAGTTATTATACAGTCACTGTATATATAGACATACAGTCATTATTCTACAAATATTAACAGTTATATATTTTACAGGTATTATTACATAGTCATTCTTCTAGCTGTCAAACATTTTATCAAAGCTCAGGGAGAGAAGAGATACAGAATAGTCAGCCATTGCCTTTTTTTATCGATTACACTAAGTATGAGCATATGTAACTCCTCAGTTTTATGATGATCCGTTATAGGACAGCTTCTCTTTTCATTGGTGATGTCCTCCAGCGTTTTCAGGACCACACAGGGTCCCTTCATCAGGCTTTAGCATTGGCGTCAATGCTAAAGCCTGATAAAGGGACCCTGTGTGGTTCCCAAAAGCGCTTGTTGGTCAGATGACAAAAAACTTAAATAAACAAAGATTTTGCTATCCTAAAAGGACTGGCGTGCTGGTGACATTTCTAGAATTTTTCTGACATTTGCGGCGCTATCCGCAGTCACTGCGAGCACCCCCCACTACAAGGGACATATCGGTAAGGAGTGCGACAAGGATAGTACTTATTGTCCTCCTGTATAGACACCCCGTCCCCTCCTCAGTGTAACGGCTGTACTAGTCGGGGACATCGCCATCCATAGGAACGTATGGGGAGACCTGCATGTGACATTGTCCTGTAAAGTGTCATTAGCAATTTGGAATTATCACCTGTTTGTTAACTCCAGCTTTCAGTTCAGTATTTATTGCTGTAATATAGTCAGATAGTCAGGCTGTAATTACAGTGATAAATATGCTGCTCTTTTACTTTTTTTTTTACTAGGTATGCGCTGCGGTTAAAGTGACACTAAACTCAGAAGTTAAATCTTTAAAATGCATTCAAGTACCTCAACTATTAACAAAATTGTAGCTTATTTGTGTATCACTCAGCTGTAGGTCCTCAAATCATCTCTGAATTGGTGCTGACACTGTCCTTCCTTCTGGAGGGTGGCTACTATTGTTCCCCATGGTTCCTGTGTGTGTTGTAGTATAGTCACCGCTCTAAGCTCGCTCCCGTGATGGACTACAATCTCATGTTTAGTTTACTAATTTGTATTGAAATTGCAGTCCACAGGAGCGAGCTTGGAGCGCTGGCTACTTTACAACACACACAGGGACCATGGGGAACAAATGCCCGGATTGCATACAGCAGCCAATCAGGTCACAGCTTTCATTTGTGTTGTACAGCAGAATTTTAAAGAGTGACACCATTGTGTTATATTTGCAAATTCAAACGTTGAACATTTATTATCATGTGATTCTGTAGAGAATTCATGAATTCTAGCTTTTAAAAAAGTCAAGGTCTATTGTAGTTTGTAAACACATCAATAAATATACAAGTTTTTCTTTTTTTTTCTTTTAGCTTCTTGGCCATGCTGCCAGAAATATGGTAATGCAAGAAGATTCCATTTTGCATTCAGAAGATGTAAGTAACGTACACTCACACAACACACTAAAGAAGTATATTCTAAATAAAGTTGCTGCACAGCTACAATTCAAAGATCCCATAAAAACATTTAAAGCATCCCCCAATATCTCTAAAGAAAGAACAATTCCAATGGGACAAAAGAACCCATTCTGTCAAAGTAAACCATGATCATATAAAACATGATATTAAAGGATAACTACACCACTCCAAAAATGTAATATATTGCCGCTTACCTTAGATGTGACAGCTGCAGTCATTGTATTTTTTAAGGCTAAGAACATATTTAGTAATTACAGAAAATAGTTGTTGATCTCTCCAGAAATGCTGTGTCCTTGTAACTGAATGAGGGCTGAAAAGAAAGCCCAAACATCTTTATCTTCATTATGTAATCTACTAATCCCTTCATTCCTAATGTAATGGACATGTTCAAAGGCAGACATGTTTGAAGTTTACCCAGATGAGCTTTGCTCACTCTTCCACTGTATCTATGGAGGGAGCCATGGTTGTCACCCAGAGATGAAACATGTTACTTGCAAGATTCCCAGGTGAAAATGAAGAAAAAAAGCCTGAAAAGAAAACAAATGCGTCCACCATATTTAAAAACTGGTGAGCTGCAATATATAATTTTTTGGTTTGGGGTTTGGATATGCTTCAAGTGATTATCAAAGTGAGAGAAAGAGGCGAAGAGCGTAAGTGCTAAGACAAAAAAAATATGCCGTGGTATAACATAATAAGCCTTTGGGCTAACCCATATGGTTTCAATTGCACCATATCTCTAACTTGCTAATTTTGTACCATGAATATCCAATAATGGGACTTCCCAGGTGGCTGTTGTGATGGATTCACACTACACATTTATCTTTATATGCAGTTATAGAGGAACAATGCTTGAAGAAGGCTCCACGTGTGTCATGGTTAGGACGCCACTTTGTTAGGACTTGCCATGTGTCCCAATAGATGGCATATATTGGAGGCAGAGTACCGCGCTGAACAGCTGTGTGTGGCTTTGTCTATTGTTGAGTCATGTTTTACATGTGGTATGGATTTTTCATTTCTAACTTTTTTATGTGCAGCTTCAGTCTAAAGTGCTGATTCTGCAACTGTTTGATCCACACAGATCTTTGATGTGATCTGAAACAACTAAAGGAGAAAAGGCCAGACCATGGGGAGGAAATTACTTGGCCTAAATGGCTGATCTTTCAAACCCTGCCTGTGATCATTCAACTTCCAAGGAGCTCCAGCAGATATCTATAGCCAAGTGCTGGGACCTGTAGCTGTAGGCCTATGCCTTTAGCTTCTTGCTGGCACTTTTGTTAAATGTACAGACTATTTTACATTAGGGTAAAGAGAAATGCCACGGCCGCGTTTAAATTGCAATCTCAGAATCTTGTTTTCACACTGAGCGTTTGGTAGCGCTATGTAGCTCTACCAATGCATTTCAATGGAGATGTTCATATCTCGTAGCTCAATGTCACCTGTAGCTTGTAGCTGAAGCTTGTCGCTCAAACATGAGCTATTTTTCAGTGGATTTCGAGCGATTTGGCCCCAATAGACTTTGATAGGCTGCCAAAAGAAGCGCTCCGTAGCGTGACAAAATATGCACTGTGGCTCAATGTCGCTCAAAGTCAAACCGCTCAAATCTTGTTGTAACTCAGTGTGAATGGGGTCTTAGGTCAGGGCTGGACAAATCCCTACAGCAAGGTAGCCCATGCGCCTTAAAAACTACAGCTGGCACTTTTGAGGTTTTTTCTAGTTGTTGTCAATGGAGCTGGCTCCTAAAAATATCCTGCTGGTGACAGGATTGGACAGACTGGCTCCTGAATTCCATATTAATTTGTCCACCCCTAGATGAGTGTAAATTGCAGTAACCTGCAGAACCAGAACCAATCTAGTTTTAGTCTGCAAGAATCAGTTGACCTATCTTCTGACTGTTTACTATAATTCAAACCGAGTCATTACATTTAGCACTGCTTTATTGCATAGGAGTGTTTGGGGTAGCATTAGATGTCTCCTCTTTTGTAAAAAAGCAAAACCAAGTATCGACTACAGTAAGAAGTTCACATTAGTCCATGCAAAGTGAGCAATCCTGAACTACATGTCAAATAAAACTGGGCAGCCACTATTTATTACCAAAATTATATTAATAAATGAACACTTTCATGATCATTTCCAGAGCCTCCGAAAAATGGCGATTATAACAACACATCTACAGTACCAGTAAGTTCTCACTTTTATGTTGCAGTCTGTATTATGAATTGTGTTAAACAGTCAAAACTTCAACTAACACCTTTTATGTCTTTCCTCCTAGGCAAGAAGCCATACAGAAAAGGTAAGTATAGATAACAAGAAGTGGTCTGCTAATAAAGGCTGGAAAAGAATTGCTCTCCATTTTTCTGAACTTCCATTTCATTGCAAAGTTTTGCCTTTCTACAACTGGTGACATTTGAAAACTGAAAAGCTGTTTAAGGCTTTGTTCACACCAAATGCAGAGCAGATCCGGTCAGGTTTCTGCACATGCACGCTAGTCTTTTAGATGCGTTTTTGGCTAAAAAAAAATGTTTGTTTTGTTTAACCAGTTGACATCCGCGGTGTTAAACCCCCTTCCCATCCAGGCCATTTTTCAGGTTTCAGCGCTGCGGTACTTTGACTGACATTTATTCCGTCATGCAGCGCTGTACTGAAATGAATTTTATACCCTTTTTTGGGGACAGATAGAGCTTTCTTTTGGGGGTATTTATTTACCAGTGGGGTTTTTATTTTTTTACTATATTAAGGAAAAATTACCGAAATAT